AAATATAGCCTTTATATATATATATATATATATATATTCTTTAGGCAATAAATATAACTTTACAAAATCAAAATTGATGACATGTTAGAGCCCAATGATTAAATTAAAATTATTATAAATAATGAGTTCATCATATGGGAATAAAATTATAACAAATTTAGTCAAAAATAGAACAAAATATTTTATTTCAATGCCAAATATAATAAGTTTCTAGTTAAATTTTAGGGTCCAACATTTATTGTTAACATGATTGGGATAGAAGACAATATGATGTATCCATAAGTTTATTTTAGTAAGAAGGTCTATTGATTATTATAACCGATGTTGATTAATCTAAAAATAGATTGAATGCCAATAAGCATGTGATTAACTTTCTCATAGAAAATATTCATTAAAAAAAATGATAAAGGTGCATGTACTTGGAATGTGGATTTTGAAATAAGTGATCAACCATATACTATGAGAATAGTAGCTAAAATTTCAAATTAGTTATCTAGAATTTTAAAAATTAAAGATAGAAAACACCATCAATTTCATATATCCTAATGCACTAATGATAATGCGCACAATAAACAAGATCTTTTTCAAGAAGTGACACCAATTAAGTACAAAAAACAGTGACTATAATGCCACAAATACATATTTCTTTATAGAGCAATCATATAGCTTAACTTGTATGCCAATTGGATGTTCAAATAAGGATTATGCTAAGGCTTTGGGATATGGGTATTGAAGAGGTATAGTTGTAGGCTAAATGATTATATCCATACATGATGACTCTAGTTAAAGGAATCGTAATAGGTTTTATCATATTTTTAGAATAGTCAAGTGGGTTGTTACTAGAAAGTGAACAATCATGGTATATGCCATAACTATTTTTTACTTGATGATATGATTTACTATTTAAAATGATTCATTTAAATTTAATTATGACATCAACTAAATGGCTAGAGGATAGTACTTAAAATGCCATTAAAATGTTTCTCTTAATTAAGATTGGAAATTTTATATTAACAACATACCCATAAGTTAGTAATCACAATGTCATAAAAAAGATATAGCAAACTTCATATCCATTTTATTTTTTTAATTTTTAATAGGTGATTATGTTTCTTTTACATGCTTACTTTTTAAGGATGGCAGTTTGCTATGGGACCATTATTTGTACAAAAAAGAATGTATTTTATTTTCCTAAATATCAATAATAAAATAAATTAAACAAGAGGAGCAAACTAGGCAAAATTATAAGATTGTATTAATAGCAATAAAAAGTATAAGATTTTATACAATGGATACATCTTATATAATATTGATAATGTTTAAAGAATAGGTCAAAACATCTTGTATGACAAATATGATATCCGATAAAGTACATGAACAACCAATACAATAGATATGATACTTGGCATATAGATTTGAAGCATTAGATACATCAACTAATATGATATCTTTCGCTCTATGAATAAGAAAATTTTGTATGATGGATATAAAATCCAATATAGTACATGCAATGTCATATATAATAGAGATGATACATGGAATATACATTGAAAAACTATAACATTAAATGGAACATGCCCTAGCTTAAGCATAACAACCACTACAAATTCTTGATAGAATTTTACCCTTAAGCACGCTTTGATTGCCAAGCAATATTGATCGTGTTAGTTAGCTTTAAACTTCGTTATGATATTCATCCTAATGTGATCAATATAAGCTCCATGTTGTGCATCTAAAAATAATATAACTAAAGTATTCATAATGTCTTTATGTTAATAACAAAAACTTCAAGTTCTCAATCTAGTTTTTTTTTTTTACTTTCTTATTCTAACATAAAAGTCATCAACAAGTCTTTTTTCTTAAAATAACTATTACAAATTCTTTCTATAAATCTAAATATTTGCATCTTGGGTTGTATTCACAAGAAAAGTACCTCAAGAAAATTTCTGTAAGGAGAAATATACTTTCAAAACATACACTGGATGGCATGGATCTTTGAAGTCTTAATACGTATATTTAAAGAAAAGAAAATATATCTAAAGCGTTCCGTTTAATCAAGTTGCATATCAATCATTATGCTTGCACATTTATTATTTAGCATGAAAAAAAAAATACTCTTAGTTTCTAATAATACATTTCAAGGGATTTTAATACATAAGTGATTGATTGCTCACAACAATACTGAATTTTTTCATAAATCAAGTCAATCCTAAATTCATTTTTAGCATAAGAATATTATCACCTTTGGCTTCAAATTTGGGCTAAATCAAAGAAGTTTTTAATCATGCATCAATTAATCTATGATTGATCTTGTCAATATTCTTCGACTTTGATATCTAAAGAAATAATATGCTCTCATGCATGGCTCTGAACCCGAAACATATTAATTGCACCAACTTCCTCCCTTTCAAGCTTCATGACTATTTTCAGAAGTACACAAAATATACCAAATATTTTCTTTAGAATACTGACTTTGAAATTAATTTTTATTATTATAAATAAATATGGCAAAATTTCAAGTGAAATTTCTCTTAAAATGACCTAATTTTAATTCCCATTGAATAAAGTCCAAAAATAAAATCATTATATTTACAATCATCGAGCTAGAAGTATTTTTAGGTGGTTAGCATAATAGTTTAAGATACTCTTGTGTCGATAAATTTTAATTTCCTCTAAAGGTACCTAACCAAAAGAATTCACTCATTTAAGACATTCAAATACATTAGACCCCAAATTTGTCATCTCAAGTAGATGCATTAATGACGAAACACAGATAAATCCATGACCACTTCATAATGTTTATCTTCAACCACACTTTTTAATCTTACATTAGTGTACATTACATCATTTATCATTTTTGGACTCATTTACAATCATCTACACTTATCCATTAGGGAATGCATGCTTAGCCTTGGCTACAACGTCTCTTCTCCATATTGACACGTAACTAGGAAAATGGTGCTAAAACAAAATTGAAATCTCACTAAAGAAGAATGCAACATCTTACGAAGTAATTAAATTTATTGAGGAAATTAATGTCATCAGTTATATTCTAATAAAATAGAATGCTGGCAATGAGTTATACTTTTAACTTCACAAAGAATTAATTATTATCATACTAAATAAATATGAATAGATGATCTATGAGATATTTGAGAGCAGTATTACTTGCAACCGTCAATTCCTTGTTGTGTTTACAATTAACTGTCCAACAAATTTAGTAAACTTCTTGTCATTCTTTCTCATACAAAACACGACTATCAATGCTTGATTGATTTATTAAAAAAGGTAATATGAAAGTATCCTACCTAAAAAAGGATATGCATAACTTCATATTAATTTGAACGAAGGTCAAACTTTGTTCAACCTTCTGAACATTTTTGCATCGCAAGAGATAATATTATGTGGCTCAATCAAGATTTAAATCAGGTTCAAATAAGATTCAAACAAAATTTGAGTCATATTAACAATGTTTGAACAAATTCAAATATCGATGAACAAACTTTGAAAATTAGAACAACTTTTGGCTTTTTATTGAACATGATTTGAACCAGTATCTGTCACCCTCTACTTAGAACTGCGTTCATCTTACTATCAAAAAAATATCAATTTGACTTTTTACAGATATATTACTTCACATAAATAACATATCATATAAATCAATAAAGAAATCACTTTAATCACATCTTCACAACATCATCAGCACATAATAAATACTTACCCATGGATGCCAAAGTTCGTCAATAATACTTCGTAATTCAAGTTCACCATCGAGATCTTATTACTTGCTATAAGAGGAAATCCCGCAGTGATTTGAAACAAGTTATTTCTATAGTATGCTAATCTAGTCCATTACCATCGAGATAAAACTGAAGCCACAATGAATATATTGAGTACTAAAATATAAAATTCATAAGAAACATGAGGTTTCATGATCCTACCAGCGCATAATACCGGTCACTATTTTTTTTTTTTAATTTTTTATTTTTATTTATTTTTTTTCCATGTTTACAGTTCAAGCTTCAGGAGGTATTAGGCTGCTTAAGCAGCAGTTTTCTTACTAAGAAGATGGTCCAGTTTAAGCGAATTAATCTTCGCAGCAAGGATGAAATCATTTTCGGTTAAACCTCCTGCATAAAAGATTACGAGAAATTTTAACAGTAGCACTAGCTAAAACAACTGATTAGAAATAGAGATAACAGATCTGGTCTCAGATATTATGAGCAGTGCAAGACATAAAAGGCTAAATCATTCTTGTCTTCGTTATATAACTCATATTTTGGTTCCAAGTAGAAATTAAAGAAATTATATGCATCGGAAGAAGTTAAAGAAATTTCCGGAGTAATATAAAAACAATTGGATTTCTGGACAAGTAGACATAAAAGTAAACCTCTCTTTTCATTCCGTTTTCTAACCGCAACCAATAGCCTAAAAAGCGTAGTTGGGGTCATTTGGTTGCTTCAGGTTAAGAAACATATTTTAAAAAACCAATGCCAACATTGGTTTTGATTCCGTCAAACCTTCTTAAATCTCCTTCAAAGGAGATAACTTCATTTCACATTTGAATTAATTGAAAAAAAGAATCATTATATTCAAAACATATTTTTTATTTACTGGCAACCAAATGAGCCTTTAGCATACAATTAAGTTTGAAAATGATTAAAAAGTTTAACAAAGGCTATCATGGAGTTTTATCAAAACTCATTCAGGATTCTCATGAGAGCTAAGGACACTTCAACTTAAGAGAATAGGTAGAAAATAAAACTGTAACTTCCATGAAACAAAGTCGGATGTTAATGTTCATAAAGCATAATAAAAAATTATATGTACATTAAAAAAAAAGTAATTTAGCAATTTGTTACCGACAGAATGAGTCCATATCTCGATTTTCACCTTGTTCCAGCCAACCAGATGAAGGTCAGGATGATGACCTGAAAAAGTTTGAAGCCAACAGTCATATAAGATGAACGAAAGTAATATCGTGCACCTTTATCAATATGAATATCAATGAAAGTAATTCATAAATTTAAATTGTAAACAAGCATTTTCATTTATGTGATTTAAAACAACAAAGATAAATTGAAATGATATTTACCCAAAAGCAAAAGCATAATATTGAACCACAGTGCGGAGATTCTGTTTCAAGAGACATACGGCATGGCATTGATAACTGGTAACAGTACGACATTCTGGAGAAATTGGTCTCCAGTAAGCTCCAACGGAAAGACAAACTACCTACACAGAATCAGATTTGATTCTGAAAAAAACACCATACTACCACTAACGGCACGGTACTAATCCAGAAATCTAAATAGCAGCTGATGTATCATAAAGGAGAATTAGATAAGATTTTACCATTCAGCATGATAGACTATTTTCCAACAACTTCATTCTGTTTTTCTTTTCTCTATTCTCTGCTCTACTTTAGTTTATGATGGTATCAGAACATCATTTCATTTGGTAAATTAAGCTTACATCATTTACACAGTGGACTCGGCTGAAACATCTGCAAACAACATTAACACAGCTCTTGAAGGCATGTATTCTCAAAACGAGATCACTACCAATCCCCAACTCAACTAAAACTTCTTATGAGCAATCTCAAATATACTCTCACCTCACAGCTTAAACCAGAAAAATACCACATCTAGTTCTTACAAATCATCAAACTCTTCAAGGCAAATGGTTTTGAAGGGTACTTAGATGAAACCACAACAATGCCATCAAGGCATATCCCTTCGTACCAAGGAAACATCAATCTCATTCCAGCCTATATTCTCTGATATTTAATTGATCAAAATCTCTCTGCAATGATATATGCAGTGATCTCTCCTCCTCTCCTGTCATATGGACTTCCTCTTGAAACATGTTCAGAAATCTGAATGACTCTTAATCGTTGGCTGCAATCCACAGATGGATCCAACCTGATCCAGTTAATGAACGAGCATCGAAATCTTCACATAGCTAGTCGCACAATGACACAAAATTTATCCAATATTAAAAACAAAATTGATGGAATACCAGCCTCTGTCACGCTCCTACCTCCATTAGATATCAATCTTTACACCCTTAATGGCATCCCATCATGATTTCCATCCCCTTCTATGCAACCACCAGAGGCAGGACAAGAACATGACCCGTTCCAAATGAGGCATCAAAAAACCCAAACTAATCTTTTATTTACTTCATACCATTCACAAACATGATCCTACAAGTCACTTTGCAGCAGTTTTTTTTTTTTTTAAAGTGTTATTCGGCTCTCATTTAATTAACACAGAAAAATTACAAAACCGAGAAAGAGGTCCTAACTCACACACCCTACAAAACACCAAAAAAAAAGGACCTCTTTCCAAATAAGAAAATACAACACACCCACCAACTAAAACTAAACACCAAATAAAAAACAAAAGAAAAAAAAACTAAAAAACAATTAAGAAACATTCAAAAAAGCAGGAATAGTTTTGGAAATCACAACATAATTCAAATTAGATCCAAGCTTAGCTACCCAATGAGCCACCAAGTTCCCTTCTCTCTTAGTATGATTCCATATGATATGTAAGTTCTTGGACAAATCCTTAACTCTTTTCATCTGCAAATTAACACTCCAATGATGTTCATCCTGAAATCTGCAATACTTCTGTAAAATTAAAGAGTCAGTTTCAAAAACAATAAATTTCCATCCAATTTTCTTAGCCACTTGAAGACCAAAAACAATCGCATCAGTCTCCGCAATCAGAGGAGAAACAGGAACAGCCTTAGCAGCAAACCAATAGAGAATAGAACCCATAGAGTCACGAAAAACACCCCCCACACTAGCACTATTAGCCTTCCAGCAACCATCAATATTAATCTTAATATAAGGTGCATAAGGTTTACACCAATACAGCAAAGTAATATTCTTATTAGAGAAACAAACAGGAATAGACAAATTATGCATCATACAAGCCATCCTACTTGTAATCTTCTTATTAGGGGTAAAAAATTTGATTCCTTTCATAAGAAAAGATAAAATCTTGCTAACCGTGTGAAGAATATTAGCCTCACCTTTTCTATTATTAATATCATTACGAGTAAGCCAAACAAACCACATAATAACAACAGGGATAGCGGCAAATAAACCATTGCCTTTATGTCTCCAGAAATGTAAAATATCAGAAATACTAGTATATTGAGAAAAGGAATTCAGCAAGTTTAATTTCATCGTAACCTGATTCCAAATCTCCACAGTAAATATACAGCTAGAAAAAAGGTGAAGACTAGTCTCCTCATGATTCCTACGGAGGACACAACAAGAAGGAAGCCGTAATTCCTTCAACTTAAGCAAATCATCAGTAGTAAAAAACTATGCAAAACTCTCCAAACAAAGAAAGATATGGAAGGTTTGACCCATGGATTCCAAATCCAGCGAAGATTCAAACCCTGAAAGTCCCGAAAAGATTTAGCCATGCTTTTAACAACAGAATCACCCATCTTACCTATGATCTTAGGTACATCAATGTTACCACTGTCAATAGGTATGGAAGATATAAAAAAAGCATCATCATCATGAACCATCCTATTAAGCTCATTAAAACACCAATGATTCTCATACCAAAGATCCTTGACTTTAATATCAATAGCCACAAGACCACCATAAGAATAAACCAAAACCCCTTCCCCATCCAATCATCAAACCAAAAAGAACAATCACCTTTACCAATATCCCAAAAAATAAGATCATTTGCAATTCTGGCTAATTTAGAACCTTATTGGAGCCGAGCTATGTCTAATGAATTTTAGGATCAACAAGAGCAAGGCACATGTGAACTAGTTCCCTCATCCCCCAATCAAAGCCTTTTGGGATGAAATTTTACTTACAAGGCCAAATACGACATTTAATGGCACTATAGCCCATTACAAAGCATGCCTTGTAGCCCAACAATTAAATAGAAATATGGTCTAGGCTATCATGAAACACTCATGTCCAATAGTCAAATTATCTACCATCTGAATAGTACTCATAGTTGCTACTTCTCATAACTGGCTGACCCATAAATTGGAGGTCACCAATATTTTTCTACATGATCAATTAACAAAGATGATTTACATGAAGGAACCTCCAAGTTTCATCGATTCCCAAAGACCCAACCACATTTGTCGTCTCAAAAAGTCCATCTATGGTCTTCTAAAGTCCCTCGACAATAGTTTGCCACCTTTACAAAATGCCTCCAACAAGTTGGCTTCACACGAAGCCTAGCGAATCCCTCCTTCTCTATCATAACAATGATACAACCATATACCTCCTCATTTATGTAAATGCTATTCTTCTCAAAGGAAACAACACACTAGCTACATACACAATTCTTCATATGCTACGATAAAAATTTCACATGAAAGATTTGGGTCTGATTTCTAAATTCCTAGTGTTATAAGCTATGAGAACAACTAATGGTATTCATCTTAATAAAAAGACGATGATCAACACATCTTGGATAAAGCAGGCATGGCAGATAGCAAAGCACTCCTTTGCCCCTTTGTGAACACTTCAACAACCTGCAACTATAACACCAATTACCAAGATCATTGAGTATCTCACTGTGACAATAATAAACTTAACATTTGCAATCAGCCGCATATGTCAATTTATGCATAATCCATCTACTTATCACTTTTCATTGCTCAAATGCACTCTCTGCTACCTTAAAAGAACAATTCAATTTGGCTTACCAATCCGATGCACCTCACTTAACCTCCAACTATATTTTTATTCTAATTGGGTTGGGTACTCTATAAATAGAAAATCTATCAAGGGCTACTGACTGGTCCTTGGATACACTATTATCTCTATCAATCAGGAAGAATGGAAATCAGGCAGCTAAGTTAGGAATTTTCTATAATTAGAAGCTTCCTTATTTAAAGTTACCTAAAATAGATTATGCACTTTATTTTGTACCTAAAATAGATTGTAAGATTGATATTTAATGGAATGAAAACATAGGGAAAAGGCAATCGAGCTTATTTAGATTTAAGTCTATTTTTCTCAAAACTTTAACATGGTATCAGAGCCAAATTTTTTCCCTAACCACCGATAGTCGTTGAAGGACATTCGAGGCTCCCTTCCCGCCGGCCTTCTTGAGGGAAGGAAGGAACTACTTCTCCGCCTTCGATTCGCCTTCTACTGGTTTGCTTCGTCCTCCTTCGACGTCTTCTCCCTCTCGTATCTGGGCTCACCGACAGGGTTAGGGTTACGGCTCTGCTCACCCTACCGTAAAATTTCAGCTCAATCGTCCATGGCACCACCATCCTTGGTGCAATCGCCTCCATCATCGGCATTCTTCGCCATCTGCTTACTTCATTCGTAGTAGCGACGACGTGCAGAGCAGTGATGATGTTCTACCTGAACAAAATCTCTGTGTTTGGTCACTGGCCGGAGACTGCAGGGAAACTACAGGGCTTGACGCACATCGATAAGCTCCTGATCCAGATCTCGGACTCCTCGCGAGATTGCTATTGTTCGCCATAGGATAATTTCTCTTCATGGCTTCCTTCGTCAACGACCGCAACTTTCAGACTTCATTCGCTAGAGGCATCGAGCCTATTCGGACTTCAGCTTGTTACGCCTCGCTCTCCAGACGGCGAAAGCCATCCTCGCGCTTCACTATTCTCATCCGTCAATTACCCACCGCGATGTGAAGTTGGCGAACGTGCTTCCAGACGAACGGTTTAATGCACGTCTCAGCGATTTTGGTCTCGCTTTCAAAAGCGATGAATATGAGAATGAAGTCGGCGGATTCAATTCCTTTGTCCGCTCCACACTGTTCACGAGGAGTCTAGGGTATCCTCTTGTGGAATACAAGGATTCTTGGGTTGAAAAATGGTTTTTTATGTTTGTATTATTATTCGTCTGATTCAGATCTTCTTCACTAGGCATCACTGCTACTGTGACATCTTCAACTGCTTCTTACGCTTCGCTTCGTTCGCCTTGGCTTCGGCTTCGGCACTCATTCCTAGATCGATGGCTTCGGCTTCAGCAAACCATAGATCTCTCAGGCTTCGACCAAACTTGGGCTTCGGTCCTGTTGGGCTTCAGCAATCTCAGGCTTCGGCCTTTCATGCTTCGGCACTTTTGGGCTTCGGCACTTTTGGGTTTCGGCATTTTTGGGCATCGGCATTTTTAGGCTTTGGCACTCTTGGGATTTGGTATTTTCAAGCTTCGGCATATTCAGGCTTCGGTACTCACGGCTTGAGAATTTTTT